AAAGCAAGAGGAACACCAACAGAAAAGCCAGAAGCTCAAGGTTGTCTTCCATGCTCTCTGTCAGAAGTTCTGTCTGCACCCAGAGTTGAGAAGATTTGAGAACCTGTAGCCAACTCCCACCCAAAGTGAAGACACACACATGTGCAGCCAGAAGATAACAGATAAAGCAGATTATAGGTAAAAGGCAGATTACAGGTAAAACGCAGTGAGTAGAAAGAAGCCCTCAGCACAAACTGCAGGGTTACCATCCAGATAGCGTGTGCCATAGGAGCTCTCTGGGAACAGCCCCCTCATGTAGGTTATGCAGGACACGGAGATGGCCAGGAGCCTTTTCACCAGCACCAGGGACTGCTGCTCTGTGGTGATGCTCTCAGGGAACAGCACTGCTTCCTGGAAAAGCACGGCAAGGACAGAAATAGCATCTTCTTAAGTGTAACACGGATTAGATTTAGAAACAAGTCTCAGCAGGTGGGAAGAGGGTAACTTAAAAATGTAAAATGAAATTTTAAGATTTCTCTGGTGTTTAAGCTAGGCAGGGAAGACTCATGTGAGGTGGATGGATTAAATGATTTAAGGGCAGAGATCAATAGATCTGACATCATTACTCAGATGCAGAGTGTACTGGTTGGATGTGCCCTCCCCTTTATCACATTCCCACCCCCTCCACTACACCAATGCTGGCACTTAACAGACAGCCACCCCTCAAAAAAGGTGAGCAATTTAATTGTGGAGTCACACACGTGCCAGGGCTGGTGCGGCAGCCACTGCTGTACCAAAGGCTGCTCTTTTGAGCTCTGACAGCAGCCTGAGCTGCCAACAGAGTGATTTTAACTCCAAGCTGTAAAACAGCACCTGGAGCTACAGTAAATACACACTGCGTGATGCCAACACGAACAATGCAGTGGACACTGCACTAAATTTAGTTCTTCTATTACTTTATTGCTGTTCTTCCTGCTAATAAAGCTCTGTGCACACCTAATGAGCCTACATTTATTGAGTAAAATCATGTCAGAGGCCCACACTGCCTCTCACAGAATTGGAATTAATCCAACTAAGAACAGTGCAGACAGGAGAAAGATTTCCCTCCTCCGTAGGCAGAGGCGTGCTAGGTCCCATACCGAGAGCTAAGATTGTCTGCACCACTATATTTTAATTTTTTACCTTACAGGGCTTTTTCTTTTGCTTGAGTAGCTGCTGAGCAGCCATCCTGCGTTTCAAAGACCTGCCTTTCACTTGTAATTAAACCCTGAAAAATAAAGAAGATATGAAACACATAGAAAGCACAGTTACTGCTATTTCTCATCTATATTAAAGTAAGAATGAAATTCCTCAGAGTTTGAAAGCTAATTGCCAGGAAGGACAGGTAAAGCAAAGCAAACCAAGGGTACTCCATGACACTGAGCCTACAGAGCATGAAAACTCCTGCTCACTGGTAAACAATCAATAGTATTTGAAATTCAGGGCCACAACTGCACCTGGCATCAGTCGGTGCCACTTCAGAATGCATTTCTCATATTCCAAACCACAACTGTTAATTCCTACAACCATTAGAAAGTGTGAAGGGGGAATGTGAAAGAACTGGAGGTCTGCCAATAGCAGTTAATATCTTAGCAAAGGTAAGCAGGAAATGCGCTAACAACAGTCTTGGCCAGAATAAGGGAATGATTCTTCTGGGACACCTTGAAAGGTTAAAAAAAAAAAAAAAAAAAAAAAAGGAGAGTCACAATTGTTTCAGTTAGACAAGCCTGTATTGAAGAGGAAAATACTCATTTTACCAGAATGGAGAGCTGATTGATACAGGTAATAACACTGGATATTCCCTGTTTCTCACTTGAGTGAGGTGCTTGATTTAGCAGCATCTGACAATCCTGATTAAAAACTTCCATTAGCTGGAATTAACAAGGCCTGCGTTAACTGGTTTGAAAAATGACTTTCTGGGAGATCTCCACATCTCATTGTAAATGGGGGATGTTAATGAAAGGAAACACCATGAACAGGTCCCAGAGGGACGCTGCTGAGTCCACAGCCACTCGACTTCCCTGGTAACAATTAAAGTAATAGCACAAACACGGCGGGGTGATTTAACTCCTGACCTAAAGCAGCCTTTTATTAACTCAGCTGATCAAACCTTGTTCTGCATTTGCACTTTTTGTGCTTTTTTTTTTTCCTGTGGAAGCCTTGTTTCCATTTGTTGGCAGTCATTAAGACATGTTGATTGGAACATGGTGACAGCTTTTATGCTAAATTTAGCGCTTCATTTAGTAATGAGGACAGATTACAGCTATAAAAGTATATTTAAACAAATACACACCTGCAAAAATTTTAACGTGTTAAATATTTTAGCAAAGTAGCTTTTTTTTTTACCCAGGCACTGTGAGCAGGACTGGAACGCAATCAAAGCAGACAAAGGTGTTGTAATTACAACGTGAGGTTATTAACTAAATAAAGCTGATTTAGGTGAGGCAAATATGTAAGAAAACATGTTTTATAAACCATACTACATTTATATTGATTAACTAAGGAGGAAACATCACCCAGACCAAGCAGACCCATTACAACCCAGCTGTTCAGGTACAAGATTTTGGCATCAGTCTCACCTGGGCTGGAAGGACAGAAGTTGCCCTGGAACTCCAACACTCTCCCAGTTTGCAGCCACTTTATCACCGAATATCAGCAAATTAGTATTGAACGGGGAAAAAACAAATGGCATCCTCAGGATCCCGCTGCTCCCTGACACCCTCAGCCCTGCACCCCTCACTCTGCCCCTTGTGCTTTATGTTGGAAAGGTGAGGCACCACAGCCCTTAAAAAAGCAGCCATGGCGCTGAAGATGGGTTTTTACTCATTTTCTGGGGAGGCTCCTGGGGGGTTTTATGAGTGGAAGCCCAGGCCCGGCCGGGGTGCACACGGGACCAGTCCTGTCCCTCACACAGCGGCACCATGAGGAGCCACTGAGGCCCAGGGGGCGGCGGGGATGAGGCGCGGGAGCCCCGAGGCGCTGAGGGACCCTGCGGGACCACAGAAGGACCCTGAGGAACCCCTGGGGGACCCTGAGGGACTCCTGAGGGCCCCAGAAGGACCCTGAGAGACCCCTGAGGGACCCCAGAAGGAGCCTGAGGGACCCTTAAGGACCCCTGAGGGCCCCAGAAGCAGCCCCAGAAGGACCCTGAGGTACCCCTGAGGGACCCTGAGAGACCCCTGAGGGACCCCAGAAGGACCAATGAGGGACCCCTGGACCTCAGAAGGGACCCTGAGGGACCCCGAGGGACCCCAGAAGGAACACTGTGGGACCCCTGAGGGACCCCAGAAGGACCCTGAGGGACCCCAGAAGGAGCCCTGAGGGACCCCTGGACCTCAGAAGGGACCCTGAGGGACCCCAGAAGGAACACTGTGGGACCCCTAAGGGACCCCACAAGGACCCTGAGGGACCCAGAGGGCCCCAGAAGGACCCTGAGGGACCCCTGAGGGACCCCAGAAGGACCCCTGAGGGACCCTTAAGGACCCCTGAGGGCCCCAGAAAGACCCTGAGGTACCCCTGAGGGACCCTGAGAGACCCCTGAGGGACCCCAGAAGGACCCTGAGGGACCCCTGGACCTCAGAAGGGACCCCGAGGGACCCCAGAAGGAACACTGTGGGACCCCTGAGGGACACTGAGGTACCCCTGAGGGACCCTGAGAGACCACTGAGGGACCCCAGAAGGACCCTGAGGGACCCAGAGGGACCCCAGAAGGAACACTGAGGGATCCTGAGGCACCCCAGAAGGAACACTGAGGGACCCCAGAAGGAACACTGAGGGATTCTGAGGCACCCCAGGAGGACTCCTCGGGGACCCCAGAAGGACCCCTGAGGGACCCCTGAGGCGCAGGGCAATCCCGAGAGGCGGGAGCGGCTCCCTGAGGTACGCGGGGTCCCCGAGGCGCTGGGAAGCGCTGTGAGGCACGGGCGGATCTCCTGAGGCACTGAGGGGCCCCTCAGGTGCTCCGGGCCTCCCTGAGGCGCCGAGGGGCCCCGTAAGGAGCTCCCTGAGGAGCCCCTGAAGGACAGTGGGGGGCCCTCCTGGGGCACGGGACACCCTAGGGTGCTGAGGGCTCCCCTGAATCGCGGGTTACACCTGCCCCGGTCCGGCCGGGCGATGCCCTACCTGCGCCGCCCAGCCTCGGCCGCGGTGCCGCCGGGCCCCGGGCATGGGCGGTGCTGCGGCGGGGGCGGCCCAGCCCTTGAGGCGGAGACTTGGCCCTGCCCGGCACCTGCCCCCGTTCGCGGCTTGTCCCCTGTCCCTGTTTGCCTGGCTATCCCTGCTCTTCGCCCCTCTATCTGTCCCTATCTCCGGCTGTGTCTCGGTCCTTGCTTCTCTATCTGTTCCAGTCCCTATCCCTGCTGCCCTGTCCCAGGAATTCGGGCAGGACAAGGTCCTGCAAAAGCACAGCCATGGCAGGGATAGTATGTGGTATTATACTTGTTTAAAATCACTTTATAGTAAAATAATGGTTTTTTTAGCAGCATAGAACCCCAAAGGAGGTGCAGTTTTAAGTTACTCAAATCCACATTCTTAGAATACTCTGGTACTTTTCTAGGGAAAGGGAGACTTGGTATCATCCCAACTCACAAGGAGCAGAGAATTTTGGAGCCAGTGTCATAACCTATGCAAGGAGGATAGGTTCTCTATTCACTAGTATCTTATTTACAGAATAATCGGCCTAAACCAATCCTTCCCATCTCCAGGCAATTTGTTATCTATCCTTCAGATAAGGAAACCTATTTTTTCCTTTTCATCTCTACTCCAAGCAATTCAGGGGGATGCTCATGAGAGCACACCCCTCCCTTCCCAGTTCCCCCAGCTCTGGAAATGCCAGTCTGTCCAGTTATGATGGTTTGCCCAGCTGATAGGACAGCAAACACACTTGTGTTTTTCCAGACCGTTTTCTGATCTCTTTTCCAAGACCTTTTCCCTAGTTCAGTTAACAACAGCTGCTGGAAAGTTCCTCCCTGAGGGAGGAGAGAAGACCTCATTGATTTTACTAGAATAATTTCACAACACACAAACAAACCAGGACTGGTGCTGCTGTCGGGAGAGGAAGGATGTCTGCAAATGAGAGCTGTAGGTGTCAGCCCCAGGGCTTTGCTGGATCATGTTTGTCTGTCCCTTGCCCTGGTGGAGATCCAGTGTCACCTGCACGTTGTGGCAATCAGGTCACCTTCTGCCCTGGGGCAGGTGCCAAATGCTGAGTATTAAAGGAATCAACACGACTGTAGGGCAGGAGCAACAGGCCAGCATGAAGGAAAAACAAGTGTTAGAAGATTTGGAAATGCACCTTGCAAGGAGAGACACGGAGGCCCTCTTCCAAGAGCAGCCTGAGACTGGGAACCAGTACTTGGAAGACACTTTGCTTCAGAGTTACTTGAAAACACACCTTCCTCCCAAGGTCAGTTTGTGTTCCTGTATGTACCCACCACGACTCTGCCGAGTTGCTGCTTCAGACTCTGAACTGGACATTTGTCTGAGCCTTTTTGTGCCTTTGAGTGTTTACCTGGAGGGAATTTATCAGCATTCCTTGAAACCTGTTGTGTTTGACAGTGGGGTGACAAACACTGCCAGGACACACAGCAAGTGGCTCAGTGGGCTCCTGGGACTGGGCTGGGTGTTGCAGTGCTGTTTTGGAATTGTCAGTGTGGGCATTTGTTGTCTGGTCATGTAGAGAAAGGAATTTCTGGGAGAGGAATCGTACTAAGATGCTTGCAAACTCTGCTTTGTTCTTCCACTTCTCTTCCTGGGGAAAGAGGGGTTTTAAGGAAAATTCCTAAGGACTGGGGCTGTTCTCAGCCAAATACTCAAGAGGGTGGGAAGGCCCCTTGGGGCTTGTTTGCTCCTAGCACAGGTTGGTGGCATTTTATTTCTTCAGCCACGAAGGGCTCTGTATGGATTTCAGGGGTGCAGATGGGAGTTCAGGCTCCAAGCTCTGGATGTCTGTGCTCTGAGCTCCAGTCCTACAGGAACCCCTGGGAGGAGGTGGCTCACCTCTCTGGCTGGCCTCTGCCACCACCCCAAGGGCCAAAAGTGCTTCCCACTTTTCAGGGAGCAGTTTTCATGGAGTGTGGCCTCTCCCCATGATTTATTCCAGCAGAAGCAATGCTATGACTTCTAAAGCCACCAGACGATCAGAGGAGAGGGGACCTGGCTTTCAGTGAGGCTCCCACTTACCCTGCTTGCTCTCCACGTCCGTGAGGCCTGGCAGACACCGAGTGGGAAGAGTGTGGTGGCAGTGCTGGGAGCTTGTCACAACCATCCCAAAAGAGAGGAAATGAGGCCTCCCTAAGCACCACTGTGGCCTTCTTGGCAGAGGAGAAGAGAGGAAAAGAATGCCTTTGGGTAACCATGAAGGTCCTGCTCCTAATCTGCAGCTTTGGAAGAAGCAGGATTCAGGTCTCCCAGAGAATAAAAGGATCAGTACAACAAGGCTGCTTCCACTCCTTCCCCAAACTGAGAAGAGGGGTTCCAAAATCTCCCAGAGAACCGGGAGCTGCACGTTCCTTTCATTTCTGCACTCCGTCCCAGCGGGGCAGTGTTGCCCCGCTGCTGGAAAGGAGAGCCTGCAGCACTGAGCCTGCTCTCCATGGGAACACCTTCCTCTCCAGGACAGCGGCAACCCCTGAAGCTCTGACTGTCCCACCGAAGTTGGAGGCTGATTCCTGTTGTGCTATTCCACGTCAAACACGGAGTTTTTCTTGAAATGGCACAAAAATTTTCTTTCTCTGTTTGAAGGTGATTTAAAGAGAAGACCAAATGAAGCACCTGCTTTTTCTGAGTTGTGAAGAGGGATCTGTCAGGCTTTGCTGCCCTGAAAATACATCCTTTAATATAAAGGATACCTATTTGCACTTCTAATCTGTATTTATTTGCACATTTCCCATATCTTTATGCTTGGGACATCAAAGGACAGATTAGGGTGAACAAGACCACCCAGCAGCCTCAGCTCTGACCCAAATGATTTTGTCCTCTCCACATCTCAGCGTCCATTCTGTGAAGCACTGAGGCTGCTCTATATGACGTTCAGCAGTCCCAAGTGTAGGAGTTTCAATTTTTTACTTCACCTTGGAAATAAACACTTCTTTTTTTGGTAATTCAGTGGTTTATCAGGCAGTGTATGGTCATGAGCTCCCAGTAAAGCAGTTGGGGAGTTTTAGGAAATACGGATGATGGTGAAGGGATTGTTGCTTGAATTCCTTGTATGAACTCAGACCAAGAGATCTGCTTGGCAGACTCATGTTATTCTGCCTGCAAAAAGCCACCAGGTAAACAGTTCAAAGAGTCTTGTGCTTCAGCAAAGTCCATGAACTTTGGATTCCTGCGTTATGCCTTGGACACAACCTTCAAATTGTTGTCGCGGCTCGATAAAGATGGGAGGTGCACGCCCATGGCAGATATGGGTGTGGCATGAGCTGGAGCAGCTGACAGACTCTTGTGCATGGTTTTGGCTTGTTTTGTGCTTTTAAAAACTATTCTGCTAAAGGAAAACTGGCTGGTTTGAGGATGGAGACTTCCAGAGTGGCAACTGGAGAATGTGTGTTTGATCCTCATCACACATGTGGAATAACAGAGGGAGAAAGGAATCAATCACACAGGGTGTAGATTAATGGAAGGTTAATACAGGGGCAGTCAGGGAAAGGAAAAAGCCATGTTTGTATTTCATCAGCAAGAAATTAATGGGGTTTATAATTGCACGATTTTGGGTGCAGCAATTATGGCATTCACCTCCATTATTTTATTGAGGAGGGAATGAGCATCTCTTGAGAGGCAGAGAACAGCAAAAAATATTCCTCTCATGGAAGCAAATCAGGTGATTCTTTGACCCCCAACACAGTCTTGGATGTGTTTAGGCCAATGAGGTCAAGCAGGGCTGGAGGTTGGGTCCTCCTTGACTAATTTTAGTCATCTAATATTCAGGTTATTTAAATCCGGGTAACTTCACTTGGCTTTGCTCACAGACATGGAAGAGAACTTGCAAAAGGCAATTCCTGTCACCCTGAAATAGGGATCTGAGGGGGTTGGAATGAACCACTTCTCTGTGAGTGCTGGTTTCCTTCCATTAACAACAGACATATTACTCCATCCAGGTCAGCCAAAGCCAGCAGAAATGAGGGCAACATGAATCCTTCAGGAAGGATCCTTCAGGAAGGATCCCTGGGTGCAGGATGGGAATTTGAATCTAGATATTTTGTGAGCCAGGCTGAAGCTGAAAAGGCTGCCCCATCCCTCCTTTTCTAATCTGACAGGCAGGTAGCTGCTGAGCCCAGTGGAAGTTTTCCTGTCCAGATGAAGGCATTCCGTTTTTGGCAGCCTTTCCCCTGGCATTCTTCTCCAGCAGTAAATAATGGAGCAGCTGAGGGACCTCTGGAGACCGTCTCATCCAACCTCCCTGCTCATGTGCATCTGTGTCATTCTCAGCCTTGACACTAAAGTGCTTCTGTCTTTTGTGAAATGCAGACACGCTGCCAAAAGTAACTTGAAAAAAATTATTTTGAGGGGAAAAAAGAGAAAAAGTGTCAGTGGAGCACAGCTGTGCCAGCAGAGGCTGAGGGAGCTGTCATGCTGTGTTATGGAATGCATGGAAGGGCCAAGTAGCAAGGGACCACTGGCATTGCAGGACAGCATGGTCAGTCCTCTGCCCTTCTAGCTAGGACTTGGGCTGAGATGTACTGAAGGGCTCTCCTTGCTGCTCCACAGGTCCTGGAGGAGCTGCATCAGAACCTGGAGAGGTTTGGAAACTGCTTGCTGACCAAGATCCAGCCTCTGAGCTGGGAATGTGAGCTGAACCCCCCGGGTTCTGGCACTACAGTGCTTGGGGGCAGCACGTGGATCACACTCACACCTGCTCAGCGTGGAGGAGGATGAAGGAGATTTCAGCAGAAGAAGGGCTGATTGCTGAGGCCTATGAGAAAAGATATTCCAATTGGAGGTAACTGCGGGAAATTGGGAATGACTCAGTGCCTTCCTGATTATTCTTAGCAAGGTTTATTCAGCGTTTTGCAGGACTGAGCTGCAGATGCTGCATGGACACCAGCACACCTCCCACTGTCCCCAGCAGCTCTGTCTGTCCACTGCAATGTTCCACCTCACCAATGATGAGCCATAACTAATGGCCCACACTTGATCATAATATTCTTTGATGTCACCTTCCTGATTCTGGGGCCTGGCAGTTCCCTGCACCACTCCAGCTTTGTGTGTGTTAGTAGTAATGCAGCTAAAGATGTGGGATTTCACTTGCAGGTGTTTTGTATTCCAGACCATGAATGCAGACCCACATTTCTTATTGTTAAAAACTGCACAAGCTGGCCTGTTGCTGGCTGTCCCACTGGGACTGAGAAACTCTGTTGCTTCTCTTCCCTCTTCCTGGCTAGAACAGTTTTTGCGCTCTCAGAAATAAATGGCCTGATCCTTACCCATTCTGACTGTAATTTTTCCTCTCTTCCCAGTTGAGATATTTTATCCTTGTGCTGTTGCACTGCTGTGTAACCCATCTGTTTTCCCTCTGTCTGTCCCTCTCCCAGCCGCTTGTACCAGGCTGTCAAACTGTACTTGTTCTCAAGCTCCTCTGGAGGTTTCAGCTGTCCACTGGCCATGACTGATGGGGCAGCCAAAGTCATTGAGGTATGAGCTTGGCTAGTCCCTGAGGGTGCAGCCCACATCCTGGCACTGCAGGTTAGAGGCAGGAGCACCAGCCAAGGATGGAGGAGCACTGATCCATCTGGTTCTGGGCACAGCCCTTCCTTGCTCTGTGACTCAGCTCTGTCTCCCACTGCCTTTCTCTGTGAGGTACAAAGCCTTTGTGCCCACGCCAACTTTTCACTGACAGCACTGTGTTCAATAAGGCCTTTGCTGCACATGGCACCTGTGGCACTGCAGGTAGCTGGAAAGGTGTCCCAAGTGGAAGTGTCCAAGGCCAGGTTGGACAGGGCTTGGAGCAGTAGTTAGTAGAAGGGAAGTAGAAGGTGTCTCTGCCCATGGCAGGGGGTGGCACTGGATGAGCTTTAGGACCCTTTGCAACTCAAACCATTCTGTATTTCTATGATCCTATGAATATATTTTTACTACAAGACAATTTGTTTTTCCATATTTGTGTGGCGTGGCAGTTAGATATAATAGGTTAGATCCATACCTGATGTAAATTCACCAAACCACCAAGACTTTACCAATTGGAACATTTGGCTCTGGATCTTAGTGACCCCCTTTGCATTGCCTCAGGTGCTCTGTAGGATTCAAATGTCCCTTAGGCAGCCAACCCTGGTCATTTTAATTCACCAAAACCTAAAGCAGCACAAGGCAGTTCCCTCTTCCCTGCAGCTCTCTGGGTGCTGGTGACATCCAGTGTACATGAACTGGCTCATCGTTGTTTGAGACCTCTCTCTCCAGAAATCCAAGGGGATAGGGATGCTTAGCACTCTGTGTTGTAACACAGGTCTGCACCTTCTGTCTGCAAAGTGCTGCAGCAGCTGGTGGGGGCTGTGCTGGCTCACAGGCTCTCAGCAGCACCTGCAGATCCTCTGCAGTGCAGGACACCCACCTGGCTTCCAGACTGGCCTGACTGAGCCCTGAACCACACAGTTAAGGCAACTGTGTAATGTCAACTATTGTGTTATGATCGTCTCAGTTTATTTTCTCTCCCCTCAAACAGTCACTGGGTATTCCTGGATCTCTGAAAAATGCTTTTGACCATCTGACATCCCGTGACCCTGAGAAGTTCTGGACCTCTGGCCAGTGGATGATGGAGTGAAGGGGTGGCTCAGATGTTGGTATGTGCTGTGGGGTGGGAACAGATGTGGCAGTGAGAACTGAACACAAAGGATGTGGGGAACCTAAAAAGCCGGGGAACTGGTTTAGGACTTCAGCAGAAGTCATCCAAATCCTCTGCACAGCTCTGCTTTTTAACCAACAAAAGACCCAACTCTGTCCTCTTCTGCACACAGAGCACTTTGTGTTCTTGGCTGAGGTAACTCCTAAAGAACTGGATTATACACACTGCATTTATTATCTAGGGTCAATGAAAGAGATTAACAGCTCACCCATGCTCCATCTTCATAGCAAGAAGTGCCTTAAAGGAGCTGCTGCTTACACTGTAAAATCAGCACTGATTGACACAGAGGTTCCCATTAAACCAGGAAATTTTCTTCTCTTTTTCAGCAAACGGCACCAAGACTGTGGCCAGAAGCAGCCAGATGGCACCTATTGTCTGTACGGATTCAAATGGTTCACATCAGCAGCTGATTCTGATATGGCATTAGCCCTGGCCAGGACAGCAGATGCTGAAGGACAGGTAAACCAGTTCTGTTGGATGGGGATCCAGGGGAAGGAGCAGGGGCATTCTTTTTCTTCCTTGTTGCATTGTAATAAAATCCTCTCTGTGTGCCTTGCGGCGTACTCAGGGCTCCAGAAGCTTGTCCCTATTCTCCTGAGGGTTTGGGATGAGGAGGGGAAGCTGAACAACATCCAGGTGCAAAGGCTGAAGGACAAGCTGGGCATGAGGAAGATGGCAACAGCAGAGCTGTGGCTGCAAGGAGCCAGAGCAGAGCTGGTGTGCAAGAGTTCCCCTGCCCTGGGGACTGGGCTGCCCAGGCTCACTGCAGGTGTGGCACCTCTTCCCTCACTGCCTTCCTGCTGAGCCCAGTCACCCCCAGGAAAGGACAGGATGTGTTCCTGGTGCTGAGGCTGTTCCCTAGCACAGCAATGGAGCTGAGATTCACTGCTCCCCTCCAGTTGTTGTGAAACAAGACATCTCTGGAGATATCCTTGGTATTCCCTTATTTCTGCCCTGTGTCCTTGTTCCCTCACATTCCCTTTCTTTGCTGCAGTCACTGCAAAGGCTCCCTCATGCTCTTCCATACAGGTGTTGTCCATATGGGAGGGAACAACAAACAACTCCTCCCTGGAGATGTTGTGACCCCTTGCCAAGAGCAGGTTATGGCTGTGTTTCTGTCCACAGCTGCAGCCCTGCTCAGCCTGATCCACCCACCTTGGCAGAGCCTTCTTTGGGGTTTGTGCTCCTGGCTGAGGCTGCAGGGGACAGGCTGAAACTGAAAGTTTTAGTATTCCAACAATTGGAATTGTGTCTTATAATTCTGCTCCTTAAATAGCTCTTCCAAAAGCAGGATGCAGGCAGTGCTAATCCTGGGATCTTTGTGTGCTTTCAGCTCAGCAGTGGGGAGCTTGACACTGTCAGTGTTCCTCAACACAGGTACCAAAATAAGTGTATTTTTAACGTGACTCACCTTCCTGAATCCAAAATAATTTTGCGGGTTTGTTTCTTAACCGGAAAATCACCACAGGACTGCTGAATATTGAACCTCACTAGGGCTATCTACTGCATTATGACTTTCTATTTTTATTCCCTGAAAAGATGGAAAGAGCCAAAGGAATTCCATTTCTGCCTCTTTGGATTTGCTGTTCTCTGGCTCTTCCTTTAAAGCTGCTCAGGTGACAGGAGTTCAAAGCAGCTCAGAGTTTTCATGAAGGAATATCCCCTGGCTTGGTGCATCCCAAAAAGGGGACAGGAGACAGGATCAGAGGGTGTTGTCTCAGAAGCGACATTATTAATCCAGACACAGCAATCCAGATCTTGTTAGCCCAGGCACAGCAAGGGAATCCTGGCATCTGGAGGGCTGGATTTGGTTGTGTGCAGACTTCACCTTCCCACCCAGACCCCGTGAGAAGGGAAGGGTCTGGGACACTGCTCTCCTGCAGCACTGGAGAGTGGACAGAGCTTTCCAGAGCCTGAGTAGTTCTCACAATGGCTGCAGATGGCAACTTGTGTCCCATCTCACCCCTGCAGTTCAGCTGTGCTCTGTACACAGCACCTCTCTGACCTCCAGGGGGGAGGGTCCCCTTGCCATCCTCTCAGACAACTTTTGAGAAGGGAGAAATACCTCAAAAGAATTGGCCACCAAACAAGAAGCCAGATCTTCTCAGGAGCAGGACTGAGCACATCTGCTGGGGGCAAATCCAGTTGTTGGCAAACAGCTGCTTAGGTTGACACTGCAGGTAATGGATGGGAAAATAAAGGAGCTGTGGGGAGGCTCTAAAATAATTTGGAAAGAAGCTGCCTTCACAGTCTTACACTGAGCACTAATTTAAGCAATCACTCCACAAAGGTGCTGTGCTGTACCCTGGAGCAGCTCCCTGGTGCAGCTGGGAGGGCTCCTCCAGCTGCTCAACAACTGGATAATCAGGGAAGAATTAGGGAGCACAGCGCCGTGATGCAGAGCAGGGACCTGCATAGTACTGAGATTCATTAATTAACGAGCTCCTCAGTGCTCCCATCAATCACGCTGTGATGGGCTGGGGGAGGGGGGGTGAGTGCTGGCTTCAAGGTCTCCAAATTCCAGTAATGCCACTGCCTTTCCCGTCCATCCGTGTCACACTGAGGCTGCTGCATGTCCAGGGAGAGGGGCTCGGTCTGGCTCAGCAGTGTGGATGTTCCAGTTCTGATTAGAATCAGACCTGGCCAGTTTAAGCTTTTCCTTCATGCCTTGGGCAGCAGGGTGCTGGAAAGGCAGTCTGGGAGGGATTTCTGTCTGCAGAATATTGTAAAATGCAGGCAAACCCAGTGGGAAGAAACGATGATGTCCAACTCCAGTTCAGAAGGCTGAATGATTTCTTTATTATAACTATGCTATAATACATTAATAGACTATATAAAGGAAGATACTAAAACTACAAACCTACTTTCTCTAACTACCATATCTAACTCACTACAACTCATGACCCTGTTCAAAAGAGTCCAGCCCCAGGTGGGTTGGATTGGCCATCAGGCTCAAACAATCCTTACCAGAATCCAACCAAGCAACACCCCAGGTAAACAATTCTACAAACACATTCCACATGGGAAAACAAGGAGCAGAAATAGAAACTGTTTTCTCTTTATTCTCTCTGTGCACCTCTATGAAAAATCCTGAGAGAGAGAGAAATGTGCTTGCCACATATCACCCTTTTTAGTATAAATAAATAAAAAATAAAATAAAAAACGGCATGTGCAATTCTTCTGCAGGGCCTCTGCAAAAGAGAGAACAAATACATCTCAAGAGGTTCCTTTATCAATTAGCTAATTGTCAATCAGAACCTAAATCAGATGCTGATGTGGAATATTCAAGGAGATTCTTTACCTGCAAAACATCTAGTTCTGTCAAATCTGTAAAACAAAGCTTACAATATAAAAACCCAAACAACGATGAAAAGAATGCTCAAGTTCCAAAGTCCAAACAGCTGAGTCTCAGGAAAAGGTGTCCATTGACTGGAGATATTGATCTTGACATTCTTAAAAGGCCTTCTCAATCCTGAAACAGAGAACTACCCAATCCTGAAACAGAACAACTGAAGAAAGTCCAACACCAATTACAAACCATAGAAACCACCAAATGTGACATCATATAATTATCAAATAACACCAGAACACTGAATGTCATCCCAGAGACTGCAACAGCTGATATAATTCAAATGAGCAGAGCTGGAAATCATCTCTAAATTCAAAATTTTCCAAACTTCCCTGATTCTGATGCAAAAACCATCACCAAATTAAAAAAAAAAAACAACAACAAAAAAAAAAAAAAAAAAACCCAAAAAACTGAGAAAATCTCTGGAATACCATGGCCAAAGCTCTTAATTCAACCACCTTTTTGCTTTTTGTCCTTTCAACCATCTCTAATTAATCATAAAACTAATTTTAATGAATTTTTTTCTCTTTCCTCTTGGATCAGAATGCCCAGCAGCAGCAGGTTTTAGGACCCAGCGGTGGTGGCCGGAACAAGGATCCCAAACCCGGCAATGGGGGGCACGGGGGGCCGGGCCGGTGTCACAGCAGCTCCCGCAGGAGTTTGTCCATCCCGCACCGTGCCCGGCCGTGGCTGCAGCCCCTTGGGACGCGGCTGCTCCTGCCCCTTAAAGGAGAGCAGGACACAAGAGCTGCCCCAGGCACGGCAGGGAAGGTGTTTTTCCCAGAGAAACGTTGATTTTTTAGATCCCCGGCATGACTGGGCTGGCATCTCCACCACCACCCCCATTTCCTCCGGGCTCACGACCAGCAGCATCATTCCCAGAATGATCGGGAGGGGCCCCGAGCCCCGCTGGGAATCCCACGGAGCCAGAGGATCCGCATCCAACGAGAGCTGGACTGAGAAAAACGCTGTTCCCCGGAGAGGCGCTCAACTTCATAACCTTCGCTATAGGACACGAGAAAGCACAACGCGAGCCACCTGCCGCTTTGCAAGGTAAAAGAGAAAGTTTATTTTCTGACTCCAACTTTTATACTTTTCCAAAGGTGACAGTGGATTGGAGAGTGAATGGGCCACCTCTCCAAAGACATTGGACAAACCACTAGTACATCAAGTCTCTCCACCCCCATGAAGGAATGCAAAACAATATGTTATTTACAGAAACTGTGGGGGAAAGTTTCCCAATAGAATGTAAACTCAGAAGGCTTTAGAAATGTCGGAATCTGTGGGTATTGGTGATTCCGAGACTGTAGAAAGTCTCTGTCTTTCTGCCCCGTTGCCAAAGCAGAAGCCATAATTGGTCTGTGCTGGTTTCAAGGTTGTTTATTCTGTTTATCTCTAACATGTTCTGCTGCCCTGCCGCAGCTCTGTCCTGCAGGGCAGCGTGTGGGGCTCTGCCCTCAGTGGGATGGTACAAACATTAAATACCACAAACTACCTGTGCTGGATTTACAATAACGTGCCAATATCTGTCACCTACGTTGGACAGTGTGTCCCCAGCCTGAACCAACAGAAAAATGCCAACACCACAGTGAAACATGGAGGGCATGAAGAAGGAGAAAAAGGACAAGGCACACCCAATTTCCTTCATCTTGTCCCCTCTGAACCCCTAATCTAGAAACCTAAAATTTTACCTTTGCACCCGTGTCACACTTAATTATTACTCTTATCAAACACTCAGAGCTTGTAATTCATCCTGTAAGATTGAAAACTCTTTTCCATGGACAGAGATCACAGCCAGTGTCTCTGGGGGCTCTGTCCAGGGGGGTTCCTGACCCCTGCCAGGGTCCCAGGGCAGCCAGAGGGAAGCCCTGCATTCCCACATAGAAAAACTCAAGAATCAGGCCGACACATAACCTTCGCTTTCTCGGCGGCAGCACACGGGGAACAGGCTGGCAGGGCAGCCGAAAGCGGCGGAGCGGGCCGGGAGCTCCTCCAGCACCGCAGCCCGCACCGGGAACAGCCCCGGCCCGGCTGGGACAGCGAGCGGGGCCGGTGCGGGAGCCGGGGAGAAGCGGCGCCTCCGCTTTTGGAGCTGCTCCGCACCCTCCGAGAGCAGGAAGGGGGACTCAGGCTGCAGGAGGAGCAGGCGGTGGAATGGGCTACACTTGTGCAGAAGCAGAAAAGAACTTGTGAGCCGTAGAGAAAAGCTCTCCCCTTAGCCCTGTGCGCGGGGGAATAGCAGCGAAGAGTGTCCTTGAACAGACAGGTCTCTGTCCGGCTGTGACAGGGGACTGAAGGGCCCCCGCTGGGCGTGAGGGGCTCCCCCCGACCCAGTTCAGACGGGCCCATTGGGGTCCGTCCCTAAACTATCTGAAAAAGCTTCACAAAAACTCCCAGGTACCGAACTGTTCGGACATCTCGCCTGAAGCCTAGGGATTTCCAAGCCTCTGGATCCAGAGAAAAAGCCACATCCATGAGAAAAACAGGAATATTTGCAAATTCAAGAAACTCCAATGAATCATTTTCGGAGATACAGAGTCCATGTTTTTGAAGCAGACCTCTCCAGACGGCTAACATAGGGCCAATCCACACAATATAAACGAGTGCTCAAATCTGCAGGTATCTCTTCCCAAAGTTAAAATCCACCCCAGGTCAGGTGCAGTACTATTATCAGAAAATCAGCACCTTTCAAAGGAAGGCAGAGGCGTCCGGTTATGGCAGACTGCTCGGGGCTGCAGCTGGTCCTAGAGAGGATCCCAGTGGTGCCTTGTTTTCCAATCCCTCACAGGGACTCCGGACACGCCTTTACAAGAGGGATCACCACCTCTCTCCTGTTCAACCACGGCTGTGGGCCGATCAGATTGATCCAGGTCCTGGACCTTCATCCAACACCAGGGGGTCACCGCTTATTGTAAAATGCAGGTGAACCCAGTGGGAAGAAATTATGATGTCTAACTCCAGTTGAGAAGGCTGAATGATTTCTTTATTATAACTATGCTATAATACATTAATATACTATATTAAAGGAAGATATTAAAACCACATACGACTTTCTCTAGCTACCATATCTAACTCACTACAACTCGTGACCCTCTCTCTCATCCAGCCCCAGGTGGGTTGGATTGGCCACCAGGCTCAAACAATCCTCACCAGGATCCAACCAAGCAATCACCCCGGGTAAACAATTCTCCAAACACATTCCACATAGGAAAAATAAGGAGCAGAAATAGAAATTGTTTTCTCTTTCATTTCTCTCCGTGCATCTCTATGAAAAATACAGAGAGAGAGAGAGAAATGTGCTTACCACAATAGAGTTCTGCAGGAACGTGCTTGAGTTTCTATACCAGAATCAGGTTTTCACTCACAGGTGATAAACAACACCTTTCTGGGCTCCAGGTGTCCAAATTCTTTCAGTCTGTGAGTCTGGTTCATTTTGAAACATCCCTCCCAATCCTGTCTACTGAGGAAATAATTTAACCCATCGTAAAGGGGTTTTTACTGCTCAAATTAATTTCCTTTTTATTGATGCACACAAACCAAGTACAATTTATTTTATGTTTGTCCATCAAGGTTCTCAGTGTGCAGGACGTGTGCCCATTGTCAGAGGCTTTGCAGAAAGCAGCATTAGTACCTGTACAGCTCTTGGCTCTCTGAAGGTCATTTCAAAGGTAACTCCAGGTTTTATTTCTAGCCTCTATCATTTGTCTCTACTGATGGTGAGATGCCCCATGCAACTGGGGCTGTGATCAGGAGCAGGAACTAAGGGTTGTAATTATCCTCACAGAAAGGGAAATACAGAGAACTTCCCTATCCTTGCACAATGTGGCTCTGAGAAGCTGAATTTTTAGGGTTTTTAATACACAGGCGAGTTTGTGACAAACCACCTTGTCCAGAGGTTATGAGTCTGGAAGTCCTGGGGAGAGGAATGAGTGTGAGAGGCAGGGATGGAATAATGGAATGATTTGGGTTGGAAGGGAAAAAAAAAAAAAACACTTTCCACTACCCCATATTGCTCCAAGCCCTGGTCATGGCAGCACAAGTTCCAGGCGAGGGCAGGTTGGCTCTGGGACACATCCTGCACTGTCTGGAATTTCAGGAGGCGGCTGCAAACTCAGGGCCACAGGCCCCTGAGCACAAACATCGGCCCTTTTCCCTGTGAAACAAAACTTGGCACCCCGGGTTCCTGATGTCAGTTTGCAGGGTGTGCTTGGGACTGGCCTTGGACATTTCCAAGGATCCAGGGGCAGCCACAGATTCTCTATGCACCTTGTGCCAGGGCCTGCCCACCCTCCCAGGGAACAATTCCATCCCAATATTCCATCTATCCCTTCCCTCTGGCACTTGGAAGCCATTCCCTGTGTCCTGTCCCTCCATCCTTTGTCCCAAGTTCTTCTCCAGCTCTCCTGGAGCCCCTTCAGGCACTGGAAGCCTTCTCCTCTCCAGGTGAGCACCCCCAGCTCTCCCAGCCTGGTTCCAGCCCTTGCAGCATCTCTGGTGCCTCCTCTGGGCTCTCTGCAGCAGCTCCAGGTCCCTCCTGTGCCTGCCCAGGGCTGGGGCAGCTCTGCAGGTGGGGTCTCACCTGAGCAGGGCAGAGGGGCAGGATCCCCCCCTCTCTTGCTGCCCAGGGTTTGGGATCAATCCAGGACACATCCTGTCTTCCAGCTCTGCTGTGCT